TAGGGTTTAGGGGGGAGAACATGGGCTTCGGCATCCGTGTTGATGGACCGTAAGGCCCATTGGTGTAGACCCCGAGACTCCGCACGATAGATGGGTGGCTCTCTAAATTAGCGTGTAAGGTTTAGGGTTTAGGGTATAGGGTTTAGGGTTTAGGGTTTAGGGGTGGGTCCCTTTTTGGGGAGAGGGGGCGGGGGGGGGTCCTTTTCATGAGCTGGTGTACGAAAATAGCGACCCCAAGACAAGGCAAGGGGCCGACATGGGCTTGGAATGCTTCAGCGCTGGCTTCGCTGTCGCTGTGCACTTGCACCACTTGAATTCCCAAAGAGCTCAACACCCCTTAATCAAGCAATATACCTTAATCAGATTAAGGATCCGTTTATGATTGTAGGTATATGCCTGAATTAAGGGGTAGTGGGCTCTCTGGGTTTATGTAGCTGGCTTTGCGGCATCTGAAAGCAAGAACTTAGCTAAGTGCTTCAGGGATTGACATCTTCACCTTCTTACAGAAACGGAAGTCGTCTGCGGTCTCGGTGTCTATCATGTGGCCATATACAGCTCTTTCATCGGTTTTCTGCCAAGAAGCGTCAAAGTGGAGTTGAAGCCCATCTCGAAGAAGAACGCGTTTGCTGACGCAGTGGGTGTCTTCTCCGGAACCTGCTTGACGCTTCAGGCGTAGTCAGAACTACGCTCATATGTACCTTAACGGAAGTTAGCAAATTAGCGGTCGCGTTACATAGAACTGACTGCATATACAACTAACTGTGAGCCCTCAAGTGCTGTATGGGCATTTTGCCTGGGAGCGTCGAATGGGAAGGGAGCCCTAGAGGTGCAGAGGCCATGAAGTCCTCAACCCGACCCTTTAATCGAGGTTGTAGAGCCCTCGATAGTCAGTCAAAATGGCATCATGAAAGATAGCTTGATGGGTGAGGATTTGGCCCGAAACCCGAGCGAGACCCATCTCAAACAAAGGGACTTGAAGGGTAGATGGAAAGTTAGAAGTCGACTAAGAAGTGTGAGAACAACATCCGAACCCTAAGGCACGAAGCAGACTTCCACATTGGCCTGCTATTCTTGAAGCCTCGGAAGCAAGCTTGAGCCCGTCAACCATCTATGAAAGCCCTGGGAACCAAAAAGGGGTCCGCGTACTTGTCAGGGAACACTTGAACCCACAAAGCAGTTGTTTCCCAAGTCCGCTTTAGAGATAACTGTCCACTTTACGTGTGTGTGTATATACATATATATATATATATATTCATGCAGACCTAAATGTGTACTTTGCTTTGTACACATCTACACACATGGGCTTCTGTTTTCATGTGTGCATGTATCTGTATGCTTTCTATGTTGTTGCATTTGCATATTCAGATCTAAAGCTGTATGCTTATGCGTATTTGTACATTTTTGTTGTGCAGGTTAGGGGTCAGGGGTTGAAGGTTTGAGGTGTAGTTGATTTCAAAACACCTGCGAAACCTGAAGCAGTTCGATGCAAGGCAACGTATGTCATGCTCAGAAGACACCAAACACCGATTGCCATAAAAACCCTAGACACTTCTCCCCCCACAGACAACCCCGGAATCCAAACGCCCCAAATACCTTAGACCCCATAGCAACCCCTCCCGAGGACTCCAAACCCCGGCTTAGGTTTCAAATCGTTAGAGGGTTTAGGGTTTAGGGTTTAGGGTTTAGGGTTTAGGGTTTAGGGTTTAGGGTTTAGGGTTTAGGGTTTAGGGTTTAGGGTTTAGGGTTTAGGGTTTAGGGTTAGGGTTTAGGGTTTAGGGTTTAAAGTTCAGGCTTCAGGGTTCAGGGTTTAGGGTTTAGGCCACCTGCACAGGTGCCGCAAAGCCGTAGACCGTAAAGTCGGTGAACATGCCAGGCCTTTGTGGTGTCCATGGCTGGACGTTCTAGAGTTACAGGTTTGGGGCTTACATGCACATATTGGGCAAATTAAAAAGATCAAAAGAACACATATCTAGATATGGTCGCGCCCCCCCCCCTATGATCTACCGTGACAGGTTTCCCTTTGAAAAACTCGTCAAACACCGATATTTTCTTGATTACTTCCTTCAACTTTATCTTGCAGCCCCTCTCCCAGACCTGCTCCGGTTTTGGGGAGCTGGGGTCTCGAGAGCTTTATGATGTTTAGGGTTTCTAGGACTTCCGGGGATTGGAGAGAAAGTAGTAGGGGATAGGATTCGGGGGACCCTTGGGGATATAGACCCTCTGAATAAGGTCCCTGTTTAAGAGAGCCAGAAGCGGGTTAAGAAGGGTTCCCTTTCAAGGGCCCCCCTTATCCTACCTAGGAAGTAAAGGAAGCCGAGGCGGGCCAGCTCTCGGGCACCTTTACCGTTTCGATTCTTTAGCGCTTAGGGTTGCTATACTCCCTTTTAGAAGCTTAATAACAATAATATGCTTCATACCCTCTTGGGGTTTATATGAACAAAAATATACAAAATATACCAATATAGGTTGAGGGTTGAGACTTGAGGGGCGTGTTCCCGCAACTGAACGCGGGAGAGGTTTCAATTGAGATCCTAAGAATACGACCCCTCTCAAACACTGAACCCTAAGCCCTATTAGCCCTAAACCCTAAACCCTAAACCCTAAACCCTAAACCCTAAACCCTGAGCCCGAAGCTCGAAACCCTGAAGAAAGCCGAATTTATCCCTCTTGTGCGCCTGAAGATGAGCGTGTTGGATCCATCCCTGGCAAGAGGAATGCCTGCCAAGCCACAGGGTTGAGGGTCTAGGGTTCATTCAGGGCTTAGGGTTTAGGGTTTAGGGTTTAGGGTTTAGGGTTTAGGGTTTAGGGTTTAGGGTTTAGGGTTTAGGGTTTAGGGTTTAGGGTTAGGGATTTGGTGTTTAGCGCAGAGTTTAGCCCAATGACCGTGAATCGCTGCTCCTCCTACGTTCCTACGCCCAGTCCCTGCTGAATCCTAGGTTCTCCTCGCGTCTGAAACACAAGCCTGCCCTAATCCCTCAACTCCTAAGCCATAAACCCTAAACACTGCAAACCCTCAACTCCTACCTTAAGAACCCAAAAACCTACCTGTTTTGTCGGTTATCACTATAAAACCCCTTATAGGATTACAAAGAAGCCTACAAAAAAAGTAGGTTTGGTTTCTTAAGGTACATCATAACCTCCTAAGAAACCCCTAATACAGACCCCAAAGAGTAGGATTCCCTTAATAAATGGACCCCACTACGGTATCCCCAATTTTTGGAAACCCCTAAACCCTAAAACCCTAAGCCCTAAACCCTAAACCCTAAACCCTAATCCCCCCCCTCATCATCAACTCCAAAAACCCCCACGCGCCCCCAGCAGCTGTCCTGAAGGGAAGTCAGCCGTCACACCGTCCGGTACCAGGGCGCGAAGAGCTGCGACAAGGGTTTAGGGCTTAGGGTTTAGGGTTTAGCGTTTAGGGCTTAGGGTTTTTGAGGGTTAAGAGTTTAGGGTCTAGGGCTTACGGCTTAGGGTTGAGGGTTTAGGGCTTTAGCTAGACATAGGGTAATAAGGGCCCTGAATTGGGTTACAAGTCTTACTATGCAAGTGATAACTCCCTTAACTCAGGTTAGTATCGCAATGGGGTCCCTACCTGTAGGCTTGGGGTGCAGGGTGGGGACTCATGCGACTCGGTGGTAGGGGGGCAGGAAGCGTTTTGGCTTTAGAGTTTAGGTTAAGGGCCCTAAAGATATAACAAGGAGATTTAGGGGCGGTTGGGTTGAGTTGTTTGTTGCCGGTGATTGAGGTGTTTAGTTGAGGGTTTTGAGACTTTGGGTAAGGGTTTCCGCAGTGTTCTGTGCTTTACGTGTGAAGGGCTTTGGAAATTAAGTGTATGATGGCTTCGGGGGATATCGGAAGGGAACACGGTTCCTAGTCCTGGCTAATTTCGCATCTTACATCTGCTATGGAGCTCAAAAGCTTCCGGAGGCTTTTAGTCAGACTAGCTGCCGTCTAGGATCTTGTTGAAGTATCGCAGATGTACGCATGTACGCACGCCTAAAGCCCAAAAGCGAAGGTCTCGGAGATTTTCTGAGCCAACAAAGGCGTTCCCAGAAGGCGTTGTACCAAGGACGTCCGAGTTGCAAGTTTCAGGGTTTGCCCTAAAGGGCGAACCCCTGCGCATGGCCAGGTCTGCCTTGACTCAGTGACGTCCCATCTCGACTCAATGCTTTGACGGGGATGGTGTGAAGTCTGGGTGAGGGTTTCATGCCACCGGAACCGTAAGGGTCAAACAGGTCAAGCGCAAAATCACGACAAGCTCTTCTCAAATTTTTCCTGGCTGACCCTCACCCTGAGCCGCCCCCACTGCCAAGGTCGTAAAAGTCAGAAAAAGATCAAGAGAGGCAGCACAGATCTCACTGTCCTGCCTAGTGCATGACTGGCTGGGCCACAAGCATCACAGCTTCAGGCCTTCGAGATGACTTGGAGCTGAAGCTTACGATCATTACGCGCATCTTTGGGCCCAGCCAGTTCTAGGGTTTAGGGTTTAGGGGTTTAGGGTTTAGGGTTTAGAGTTTAGGGTTGTTACTAGACAGCTCCAAGAAACCATGGCCCAACGATCCTCCCCATGCCTTCCTTACGCTCGCCGAAAAGACCGGTGCCGACGCGCCAGGAAGAACTAAATGGTCGATAGCTCCGTTACGACTGCCTGCAGATAGTTCACAGAGGGGTCGGAATAAATACGAAGAGTATGCCCTTATGGTCCCTTTATAAATCTGCGATAAGAATAATAACCCTCAAAGCTCTAACTATTACGGCCCCCAAATTAATCAGCCCCTCTGATTCCCTGGGGGGGTGCTGGGACCCATGTGGTGCTTGGAGCGGCGCTGTTGAAAAAGGTGTGAATTAAGGTTCTGCGTGCCCCACCGTCCGAACGATGGAGGGCCGAAAAGAAGGCTGCGCAGCACAGGGTCATGCGAAGAAGTTTCACCCCATCCCGCGCGGCCGAGAGCACGTTACCGCACAGTTCGGCGTCCCGTGCTCCCGTTGCCGCAGCTCACTTAGAGCCGTGCAAAACTGAAGACAAAGAGCAACACACTCAAGGACAAAGCAGACACTTCACGCGCACCACTGGTATCGACAGGGCCGGCCGTCGAGGTGGTGGTGGTGGTGGGGCACTCAAACTCCCAAAAGGACATCGTTCCTGACCAGGCGCCAGCAAACATGACACCGGCCTTGCCCGACGGGGAGTGTGCATCCTCCAAGAAGATCATGGCCTCGGGATCAATTTCGCCCAGGGAGCGGTCCGCGTAAGCCACGCCCGGGCTCTTCATCTCCGAGGCTGGAGACAGATGCTTCACAAAGAGGAGGCTGGGAGAGGCGATGTTGGAGATGTCGTAGACGAAGGCCGTGCCCTGCTTCTCCGTGGCCGTCACAGCCACAAGGGAGCCGCAGGCCTTGCCAGCCACGATGGCCTCGACACCAGGTCCATCCTTTGCGGAGCGATCGTCCACCATCTGACCGAGAGGGCAGGCGCCCGGCTGGCCATCTCCAGCATCCGCACAGCCGTCCTGGTTTAGGGTTTAGGGCTGAGGGGCTTGAGGCTTTGAGGGTTGAGGGTTTAGGGTTTAGGGTTCAGCCGTCCTGGCTTGGATCGTTCATCTCATCCAGTGTCCCGCGGAGCTTGGAGCCGGCGGCCATGTAGAGGTGGCCGTTCACGGGAGCAAACTCCTCGTCCTGGATGGCGTTGTGAGCCCAAGCGTAGTGGGCGCACTGCTCCCTCTCGACCTCGGCGCCGGAATCCCAGCTCAGAGTCAAGCCGCTGGTGGTGTGCTCATAGATGGACACGCCGCGGCCACCGAACGCGACGATGTCCTGGATCTCCGGAGCCGAGGAGTTTGTGTAGTTGATGGCCGCAGAGCCGACCGTAATCCTCACGGGGGGGGGGGGGGGGAACCTTAAAACGTCAAAAACCCCTCAACCCTAAACCCTAAACAGGCCCGTGCGTGTAAATGGCTGCAGACTCTCCTCAGGCTGTCCGCAACGGCAAAGAGCGCCATGGCAGTGCTGGCCGCGCTCGAACTTACCGTCATGTGCTCCATGTCGCTGTCCACGGAGCCGTCCGAGTTGAGAACGTCCTCGGACGGGTTTCGGGCAGGGGGGCGCCGGACCCTGCTGCGCTGTTCGGGGGTGGATGCATCTGCACCCCCGGCCTTGAGCTTCAGCTTCTCCTCAAAGTCGCCATAGCCCTTCGAAGCACATGCACTGCACGCAATCGCATGCATTTGCATGCGATCTCCCCCACCCCCTTCCCCCCCGCCCCAGGCTCACTGCGAAGGACTGACAGTCCCTTGCCTTGTCGTCGCCTTCATTGGCAGTGAGGACGTAGGTCTTGCCATCCACTTCTACGGCCTGGATCGCATCAGGCTGGCGAAGGGCCTTGAGGCCAGTGTACCTAGGCTGCACCTATAAGAGCAACCTGTGTACCCTTGCAAAACAGGGGAAGGTGCGCAACAACTACGGTCACATGGGCTGAAGCCACAGGTGCGTGGCTTGCACGCAGGCTTTGTCACCGGCGTTGACGTCGATCGGAATGGTTCCGTGGTCCTCTGGCAGTCGTGCCTCTTTCCTAAGCCCTCAACCCTAAACCCTAAACCCTAAACCCTGAGACCCCTAGAGCATGGTCCTTGAGGCCAAGGCCAGAGATCGTGGTGAGCGTCGGGCTTCCCGACGCTGGCACCTTGATGACAACGAGGACAAAACATACTATTATCAGTAGTGGTGGTAGTAGTAGATGTAGTAGATGTAGTAGTAG